TTGTACTATATATATATATATATATATATATATATATATTGATTAAAAGAAAAGAGATAGATTTAAAGCCATTTTTATCAACCAAATTTATAATTTTTTGCATTTTAGTAACAGGTACAATCAATCAAGATGAGACTAATGATACATTAGAAAATCAAAAAGAAGAAAATATGGAGGTATCTGATAATAATGATATAAAACTTAAACAAGAATCAAAGCCTGTTATAGAAGATAATACAACTACAATATCTAAAGTGGAAGTAAGTATAGATAATATTTAATTCATTATAAAAGAATATATTTATAAGAATAACAAAATAAAATTTTATTTTAGGAACTTCAAAGTGAAATTCAAAATAATGTTAACAAGGAAATAGAACACAAACAGGAACTTAAGAATCATTTAAATAAAAATTTAATTGAAAATACGCAGGCTATTGATAAGAAAGAATCTGATGTAGCTACTACAGTAAATCAAACCACAACTAATTCAGTTTCTACTGTTGAGGCCAATGGTATCGACAATGAAGATTCCATCAATCTAACTATTGGTGAAGATGAAGAAAATCTCCTCGCGGAGGAGGTAATGGATTAAATTAAATCGTGACTTTAACATTTCAAGAAAAAATAAAAATTATTTTATATTTTTACTTTGTATGTTTCAGACAGAATCTCACGAGAGGCATAAGGGTAAGTTTTGTCATATCTTGATTTGCACCTATATATGTACATACATGTATATATGTATATATATATACATACACACATATATGTATGTATGTATGTATGCATAGACGTAAGATTTCAAGGTATAGATATAGCACTACTATTGTCGATGGTCACGAGTAAGTTACTTAAGTATGTGGCATCAGAAAGACCAAGAGACATGCTTATCTACGTATAAAATACCTCCATCTATCCAGAATTACGAGCGCGCTGGATTTGTCAACAAATTTACTACTTCATGCTTCATTTTACTTCCGATCTTCGAGCTCCATATTTTCAATCAAGCATACGTGCAGGAAGCGATGCAACCATTTATCATGTGGACATGGCATGCAGTAATGTAGCTGCAGAGTATTATGGCGCGATGATCGACGAGGTTTCAACCAAAATGAAACATATATTCGTCGACGTTCTTGTGCGCAATATCAACTATGTTCTACAAAGTTTATCCCATAAGTGCTAGTCTATAAGTTAGTTAACGCTAGAGTTTGATATAAAGTTACATTTAATTCTACCTAACCACCTAGAGCATCGTTGGATCGTTTGGTCTCCGAATTATGTGGATACAAGAAGACTGAAGTATATGTCAAGCCAAAAATCTTCCCCATATACGGTTGATGATGCATCGTTGTTTATTATCCTGGAGAAATCAATGCCTTAAAACCACCAACTTAAAATAATCGCATGTCATTTTAACGCGCAAATATTTTGCTATCGCAGAAATCAGATATGATGTCCTGCATGCGTGCGTGCTTATGCCTGCGCGCGCGCGTGCGTATGTATTCCTTTTGCTACCTTTCTAGTTTTTTCTTTTCCCTTTCTCCTTTTTCCTTTTTCCTTTTTGTTCTCCATTTTCTCTTTATTTCCCTTAAAGTTTTCTTTCAATATAGGTTTTGGTTCAGAGTCTATTTTATATAAAGGTACAAAGGTAACTTTAAATCGTTCGAAAATCAAAAGAAAAAAACAAAGTAGGGTCGCTATGGATTATACCATTGAAGAGTGAATTTGTGTTATTGCAATCATGCGATCTTCATCATAATTTACTCCGCAATCTGTTAGTGGCTCGGAAAAGTTCCATGCAGGAAATACAGGCCACTAAGCAGCTGGAGTCTTAGGGAGGGAGAAGAAATCTGGCTTCGCAGAAAGTGACTATGCTACCTTGATTGTCTCTGCAGATGGAGGAGAGAAGAAGAAAGTGGAAGAAAACAAGAAGGGAGACTCTAAAGGGAGCGGTAGAGCAGAAGCTGGTGCCAACAACAAGGAAGGGACGACATCAGGTGGAAACGTCGGGACGAAGAGCAAGCAGGACGGTGGTGGAGATGGAAGCAAGAGGTTGGTCTCTCATTGCTAAACGGTTCACAGTGATACGACAACGAAATGTCACACAACTCTATGCTAGCGATGCTCTTCCACCGCATACAATACCATCAGGATAAGATACTGTCGAACGATGGATTTCCAAGCTGAATTATTCGTCACAGTCGCACGCAAGATTACTTTATTCCCTTTTTTTCAATCGCATACGAAGTTCCTTTCCGATCTCGTACGTTTAGGCTGTAATTCTTAACTCTGGAAAGTATGTTAAGAAATCGAGAAATTGGCTAGCAAACTTAACCAAACCAAGTCCTATATATACCGCTCCTATTCATAAACGAATATTTTTCGATGGTGTATTATACGCTCCAGAATTACCAATGAAAGTGATTATACATGCAACTTTTCCTCTCTGAAGATATTCGTTTATTAAACAAACAGCAGTTTCATCGAACCTAGCAAGATATGTTAGCATCTTGAGATAAATTATACATTCGACAGATCCCACTTAAGCCTTAACGCGAACATCAAGTAATCATATCATTCATCGAAGACTACTACTCTATATCGCGTGTGTGTCAATGCTTATTCCAAGTTACAAAGAAGTGTCAAGCCCACCCGGAAGAACTACGAAGGAATACTCCATTTTTGGAAAGCTTATGTAAAAGGGATGCAATACAAATATATTTTCCGCACGGACATACTTTCGTTACACGAACGAATGAAAAATGGATTCAGCCGCAATGAAACGTAGTAATTTCATTAAACTGCTAACAAATTGTATCACAGCTGATGTACAAGTGAACGTCAAAACGAATATCTAATTATTATTACTGTTACTGTTGTTTCTATTATTGTTGCTGCTGCTATTGTGGTTGTTGTCTTTATCATTATTAACAACGATGATAATGATGGTGATAATGATGATGATGATGATGACAACGATGATGACGATGACGATGATGATGATAATGATAATGATGGCGATAATAATAATCACGATGACAATGATGATAATCATGATAATTATAGCTGATAATTATGATAAATATATAAATATAATTATATAATTTTGTTATAAAGATAAAAGTTGCTAGCCAAATTTATATGCTTAACATAGTTACAGAGGTACCTAATTAAGCCTCGAAAAAGAATTCATTGTTTCTAAAATATTATCTTTTCATACATAATAAGAATTGTTTAAATGATTGTCAGATGTAATGAGAATAATAATTGTTTTCAGCGTGGAGTCTAGCAACAAGAGCCAAAAAAGGGATGATAAAGGTAACTATTAAATAATTATTTAAATTGTTTGTAGAATTGTAATTAATTTTTAAATATTTGTCGATATTATTATATAGTTAAAATATCTATTAATTCTATTCTTGTTTTACAATTATTTTATTCTTTATATAGACAAAAAAACTTCTCAAGTTAGTCCCGTTAATGCGAGTAGTAGAAATTTGTGGGTATCTGGATTGTCTTCGAGTACTCGCGCTACTGATTTGAAACAAATATTCTCAAAATATGGGAAAGTAATAGGTGCAAAAGTAGTTACAAATGCTAGAACGCCAGGTGCAAGATGTTATGGCTATGTAACTATGTCCACTAGCGAAGATGCTGCAAAGTGTATACAACATTTACATAGAACTGAACTTCATGGACGTGTAATATCCGTAGAAAAGGTAAATAAAATCAAAGAAAATATTTCTATCTCTTAGAGTATTTAATAAATTATATATTAGTAATATATATTTAAATATTTATGTATACTTTTCTTCATGTATACTCTCATGTTATATAAAGGCCAAAGGTGACACTCAACAAAGTCATATGCGCAAACGAGATACTACGAATGGAAAATCTGAAAAGAAGGAAGAAAAAGAAAAGACAAAAGATAATCATGAGATCAATGATCGAAAAGATAAGGAAACGAAGAAAGAAACAGAAGATAAAGGAACAGAAGCAAGTGAGTGATTCAAATAAATATAATATATACAAAGTGATGTTATATATATTATAAAAGAAATATTTAAATATATTACAACAGTGAAAAAGGCAGACGAAAAAAACAATGAAAACATTGAAAATAAGAAAGCAGAAGTGCAGGAAAAGAAAGATGAAGTTTCGAAAGATGCCGATTCTCGATCAACTAAATCTACAAGTAAAAAACCGGAAAGCGAGAGAGGAAGACGTGACGAAAAGAGAATTCGATCCTGGGATCATCATCGATCTCATACTCGATCTCGCAGTCGCGAACGGCGTAGACGCGACGATGTGTTGACCTTTGCAAAAATCAGGGTAAAAAATAATTATTATTAATGAGGCATATATTTTAATATTAATTATTTATTAGAATTGTCAAGAGTATAATTTTTCATGTATTTCCAGGAGGAGCGAGAAAGACAAAGACTACGAGAAAGGGAGAGGATGCTTCGCGAAGAAGAACGGAGAAGAAGAGAAGATATGGAGCGACAACGGGAAGTAGAACGTAGACAAAGAGAAGAAGCTGCACGATTAGAAAGAGAACGAGAGAAATTAAGAAGGGAAAGAGAAAGAATTGAGCAGGAAAGAGCTGAGTTACTTCGACTCGAACGAGAACGTCAAAAACTGGAGCGGGAAAAGCTGGAGCGAGAAAGATTGGAATTAAAAAGACAACAAATGCGATTAGAAGAGAGTAGACGTGCTCCGCCTCCACCATCCATTAAACGATGTTCTAGCGATAGAAGGGATCCAAGAGATATATATGTTGAACCAGATAGAAAACGTATGGCCACTGAGCATAGTCGAAAACACATTCCAGAACGTGTAAGTGATCGTCGTGGTGAGATTTTAGATCGCGTCTCAGATAGACGATTAGATGCATCCCCGCCTACTCGCTACGAATCTAGTAGGTAAGATGCGTGTATGCTCCTTCGTATTCCCTCATTTTTGTGCGAATCGAAAGCGGAGAAGATACGAAAGAATCGTAAAATATTACAGATCCAGTCAAGATTTAGGATTGAAAAAGGAATTCAAACGTAGTAGCGAGTTTACTTCCCGTAGTAGTCGTCCCGAAAGTTTTTCCGATGTATCCCGAGGAAGAGAAGTGATTGTACGTCGAGATACTCTTAGCACGACAGCAACGTCTATCGATCCTCGACAAGTTAAGGAAAGGTAACATAAAGAAGGAATTAATTCATGTTTTTGTACAATATATATTTCAATTTTTTGAGTAAGAAAAATTCGAAATATTTTTGTATAGATATGAACGTGCAAGTACTACTACTTATACTCGTGATCGCGATGTTAGGCGTTCTGATACAGATACCCATAGAAGTTCTAGGGATAGTCATACGCGTTACAGTGAAAGTTTCAAACCTACAGGATCCAGTACTCCACGTTAGTATAACAGAATTCATATGATTTCTGAAAATTGTTTGATTAAGATGACCTTAACATTTTTATACGTATATAGGTGATAGTCGTTATGTTGAAAGCAATCGAACAACTAGTAGTTGGCATTCTGGACCTTCATCTACAAAATCATTTAATTCTGTACCTAGTAGTGGAACTCGAGATCCTCGAAACGAACCATCTAGTTGGAGTTCTAGATCCTCCGACAATGTAAACAGGTACACACTAATCTCTTTGTAAAATAAATTTTATATTTAATTTGCAAATAAGATCGATTAAATAAATATATCTCCATTTATTGAAATATATCTATTTCAGATGGAGTAATTCAAGCAGTATGGGAAACACATTACGACATCCAGTTCCACCTACGTATCAAAGTGGTCCTATTCAATCAATGGGATTAACTGCACCTGGAACAGCACCTTCATACGATCGTTTTGATCCATATAAATCATCTATGCCGAGCATGAGAAAATATTGATCGTATATTGCTGATTTTTACCATTATAACGAATAATTGGTGAATTTTTATATCCACCTGTTTCTGATGCTAGCACATACACGCGCGCCCATACTTACTCTCACATATGCACACGCACACTAAATTATTTATATTATTGACAAATCAATTTTCATTATATTTCAGCAATTAATCGTATACGTAAATTCCGATTGTAACATGATCGTGCGCAATTGATAAACAAATTGTGATTCAAGAAAAGCCCAAATAATTCCTCGTTGATAAGTGGCGTATACGTATATCTTAAATCTCTTTCAACATTTGTATTCAAGTTGCTATCCTTAAATTAAGTTTTAAATGAATTAAACCGAATTGAACGTCTCACTCCCGATACTCATCTAAGCAGTCATTATGATTACGATTTTCGAGTTTTTGATGTCATTCAATTTCTGTAAAAATTTCATACCATTTTTTTCCAATTTTTTTTACATTTAATGATCCAAAAACAATAAAAATAGTAGTATTATTATTATTATTACTATTATTATTGCAATTATCACTATTATTACCATTGCTTACTATTACTAGTACTACTATTACTAGTATTATTCTACTATTGCTATTATATATCACTACTGCTACTGCTATTACCATCTCAATTATTACTACATTACCATTATTACTGCTGCTATTGTTACAAATAAATACTTTAGTGATATTCATCGCGATGAATGTAAACATATGGTATGACCTATATACGATATACAGTGTATATGTTATACTGAAATATAATGGATTTTTGTACATTTGTTAATAGACACGATATAGAGATCTAGAGAGAGACGCTCGAAATGGGGCAAACATTTACTCGTTTGTCTACAGCGCAATTACATTTATATAATGCGTTGTATCAATTGTTATTTGCAACTTATTTCAATAACGCGCATTCATTTACATCGTTGGATGTATTCTTATAGAATAAGACATACAGAATAGTGTTATAAACAGTTACATCGTGTACCTTTAACAGATTCCTTGTAGAAATACGTACATATTCTCATAAGGATATGACTGAACAATTTGTATATTGAATTTCACAAGACAGAACAGTGTATCTAATGATGTTGGAATTTAGGTTCATACTTGAAGCACACATACCATGTTTCAGTATAGCGACAACTACTTCAATATAAATAAATTTATGGTATATTAGAATAATTTGTTTTGATATATCTGTAATTTTGTATTTTAATGATTTTTGTCAATTTTGTTTATTTAATTCCAGTTCATTAAGTTTTATTTCATCAATAAAAGAAGAAATTAATCAGAGGATAAGCATACTATATACAGTGTGAATTAAAATAAAAAGACAATACGAGAATTAAAACATTTAAAAACTCAAATATATAAAATTTAGATATTTGAGTATTCAGATATTTATCGCGAGATACAGTGTTTACTATATATATTCTCAAATGTATATTTTTGGCACGTATCGTTGAGTGAAAAGAGAACGAATAAAAACACACGATAGAGAGAACACTTTCCCTCAGTCGAATGAGTCAAGGATGATAGTTACTGTGAAAGAAGAAAAGAGAAAAGATTGAGAGAATGGGAAAGAGTGAGGGAAACATTTCATCGAGAACAAAGTATGTCGAGGTCTTTTCACGGACAGTCATCCTAATTGAGGTTTACCCCATGGTGTAGTGATGATTGCACGATTCCAATGGTTTCCTTCCTCCATTTTAATTTTTTTATTTATCCCCCTCTTTTTTCTCCTTCTTTTCTTCCATCTTCTCTCTTTCTTATTTACACACATGATCCTTTCTCTTGTTTTCTCTACCTTATTTCCGCCCCCCCCTCTTCTTGTCAGCCCCCACCCCCCCAGTCAAAACTCAATAGACGATGGACAATTCGCCGGTAGTCTCGCGAACGCGATAACTTTGTTGAAATAGTTGAACGTTGTATGCCCGATCGCGAATAATAAGTGTTGTAATATAATCGTGTTAAAAACCGTATGGAATGTGAAAAAGATCGGTTGAATGTTTTCTCTGGATCAGGATGTCATTGTCCACTGTTTTGAGTAAGTGATTAGAACGATTTATATGGTTTACATGCGCTTTCGTACAATTTTATGAATGATATTTATTTATTATTAACATTTAACATTTGCATCATCGATGAGAAAATGGGAAAAATACAATAGATCATGCTTGAAAGTACCAATTCTATTCAGTTTCCGCGCTACTTAAATGAAAAATCAAGGATGTTGATTCATATTGCCTCGCGATTATATTTAGGCGCGAAAACTTTAAATCATTACATTTAATATTTTCAAATTATTTTTTCATATTCTAATTACACATATATATTGTGTATATATTATTTTATGCATTCCCTTTCATTAAATTATACTTAGTTTATTGTTATTGATTTTCAATGTTACATTATTATTAATTGACATCTATATCGTATAACCCATATGATGCGGGTTAAATCGGTTTAAATTCAAAGACAAGATAAAATGTATTGCACATTCAAAATAAATAAGATGAGGAATAAACGTTGAATTACGAAAGAACAATATTCCTAGAACTCATCAATTGAAAGTAAAGATAGCGTTAACTATACAATTGAAAAGAGGACAGCATAATTTTTTACGAGGCAGAAAAAAAGCGACAATGATGGATGATCTTTAACGGATCAAATGTATAATCATTGTATTCCCACTCAACAGATTTAATTTATCACTAAACTCACTATTTACTGCTTCATTGCTATATATATATATATAACTAAATGATGAATCAGTGAATGGAAGAAAGGTGCGCTTTCTCGCCAAGCAACTTTCACCATCGATGAAGTCCGTGTGCGTAGACAGATTCCAAAAACGTTCGCTTGATCGTTCGCTTTCTTTTATTCTCTTCTTGAGAAAGAAGATTGAGAAGGAAGCGTGTATCGTTCTTAACGATACGCGTTTTTTCAGATTTTTGAGATTTTTCTATTCTTCCATGAGCAAAGGTCAATACTTGCGCGTACTATTTCGAAATAAATTCAAACATAATAAATTCGCGAAATTGAAAAAGTTTCACCGATGGTTTCGTTACGCTTCCGATTCGATTTCACGGAGAATCGAATTACTTCTCATATGCCAACACGCTTTTTCTATCGATTTTACTTTTAGTCTCGCAATAGATACTCGAGAAATCGTGTTAATAGGTTATTAACATAAAGAAGAAAATAAAAGTTTAATTAATCGAATATAATAAAACACGATTCAAAAATTTTTGAACACTGTGATGATCAATCAACAATGATCAACATTTATCGATAATATCGAATATTACATTTCAAAAAGTAACGCGAGTAATATAACGTAATATAGTAATTATAATACTTAGATTCGCTTCGACATATCGTAGACTGAGAATCGCTAATTTTCCAGAATGATTTTCAAGTAATAATTATCTTGCCTGTAGCTGTTCCACAATTATATGAAATCAGTAATAATCTTCATCATTTTTAATTTTACGTGATTTAAATCGTGATTTACTTATATTATCTTTATTATCTTTTAATTCGTAGTTTTATTCTTTATGGAAGAAAAAGAAAAATCGATTTCGGAATAATCGATGCTTATGAAGTACGCTCTATTCTATGCTGCTTGATGTACCCGAATGTTTCAGAATTGTGCATAATTTGGAGTTTGCTAACAAGTTCTTGGTCATACACCGAAGAAGTCACCCACTATCGTTATCATTCTGGTAAGTAAATTTCATCGTTAATCTGCCTCGTTAAACAAAAACGCTGATTAATTCAATCGGATATTCAATCAACCTTATATACAACATTAATAACATGCGTGCGATATGAACAATACAGCATCAAACAAATTTGGAACATCTCAGACATTTGTAACACCGATAAGAGGATGGAGAGAACCAGATAGATGGGATAATAGTGATCCACAAAGATTGGGTCCACCAATTTTTCGAAAAAATACGCATATTAGACCTTACGTAAGATTAGCGAAAGTTAAAGAAAAACGAGAACAGCCGGATCCTCTGGTTACGATTACCGAAACTTTGGGCGCCTTAAATACTGTCGGGAGTTATATCGTTAATATGACTAGAGGAGTAGAGAACTCAAATTATCCACCAAAGGAATTACCATCAGCTATATACACTATCTCGAAGAATATTTTAGGTAAGATTTTGATAAAATTCAAGTCTTCTTTTTCCATGATTTATGAATCTTGTATAGTTTAATTATTATTTCTTTTTAGGACGCAATGTAACAGATAGTATTGCACCGTTAGTCCGAGGTGTAGCTTTACCTTTGCGACCTATACCGACCGAAAGTTCCTCTGTCTCTTCTGTTTCTTCTTCTCCTGCAGAGATTAATCAAAACAATAGGGAAAAGGAATCAATGATATCGTCAGTTGATTGTACTACGGCAGAAGGCAATCTTGGAAAATGTCAGGATTTAAGTAACTGTCCTCAATTGTTGCTTGATTTGACCAAACTCAGACAATCATTATGCTTTAAAAGTTTATTCGTTCCGGGCGTTTGTTGCCCATTGACAGATAAAATCGACAATAATGGAACTAGGTAAATTCAATAATGATAGTTTTGTTATGGCTTGTTATAGCTCATAAGATCGCTCATAACCTAAAAAAAATCGGATATGTGTGAAATTTTCAGCCCGATAACTGGTACAATTTCAACACCAGGAATCGAGCCACCCATACATTCTCCATCGAGACCACCAGTCCGACCAACGAAGCCACATCAAACTCCTCGACCGATTCCATTGTTCCCTGTCATTACAACTGGTAGCACAATTACTATATAATTATATAACTTACAATTACGACTATTACTTATTATAGAATTTATTTCAGTATCTCCTGTCAATCCATCGGTGAACCATTCAATCAATTTCTTTGGATCTTCAACATCCGGCAGCACTATAGATAATAATTTTATACAAGATGACGAAGGTAAACGTCCCTATTATAAATGTGAAACGTAAAACACATATACATAGGAACGAATAAGCAACGGATAAATTCTTGTAGTAGAATGCGGAGTAAGAAACTCGGGTAAATATCGAGTAGTCGGTGGAGAAGAAGCTCTTCCAGGACGTTGGCCTTGGATGGCAGCGATTTTTTTGCATGGCTCTAAACGCACGGAATTTTGGTGTGGTGGATCTCTGATTGGATCGCGATACATTTTAACTGCGGCTCATTGTACACGCGATCACCGTCAACGGCCGTAAGTTACTCGTTTGTAAGTAAATGTTTTCAAAATTTTTACACAAGAACAAATAAATCGATTTTCGAATCTTCGAATAGATTTGCTGCAAAACAGTTCACTGTACGTCTTGGAGATATAGATCTCGAAAGAAATGACGAACCATCCGCACCGGAAACTTACATGGTTAAACAAATTCACGCACATCCAAAATTTTCTCGTGTTGGGTTTTACAATGATATTGCAGTTCTGGAGTTGACGAGAACTGTTCGAAAATCTCCTTATGTAATACCGATTTGTTTACCGCAAGCACATTATCGAAACGAACGATTTGCTGGTGCTAGACCAACCGTTGTTGGATGGGGCACTACTTACTATGGTGTGTATATATACTTTTCTATTCCTTTTATTTTTGTTACATACTCAATTCACACTCATTCTTTTTTATTATTTCTATTTTTTATTTTCTCAAGATACTTTTAAGAATTAAAAAATTATTGTATGATCTTTTTCGATAGGCGGAAAAGAAAGCACGATACAGCGGCAAGCAGTGCTTCCAGTATGGAGAAACGAAGATTGCAATGCAGCTTATTTTCAACCAATTACTAGTAATTTTCTTTGCGCTGGTTATAGTCAAGGCGGCAAAGATGCTTGTCAAGGTGATTCCGGTGGTCCACTTATGCTTAGAGCAGATGGCAAATGGATTCAGATCGGTATTGTCTCGTTTGGTAATAAATGTGGAGAACCAGGATATCCGGGAGTATATACGCGTGTTACCGAATACATAGACTGGATTAAAAATAATTTGAATTAAGCATGAGCAATTTTGATCCTAATTGATTTGTATTTCCGACTTCGCATGACATGATTGTTACTCGGTAGTACAATATTATTTGTAATATTATTTGTATATTATATGAGTGCCAAGAATCTTATACATTACCTCTTTATATTATATGCACTAGTGTAACTGCACATATATTTGTGCAATTATACAAATTTGTAAATTATATTATAATAATTGTACATACGTGCGCACACTTATATATGCAAATATACGTAATTTAATAAATTACATTTATTTATTTATTAGCAATAATAATAAATATTATTTATACGAATGCAGCTGTAAACTCTCAATTATTTGTTTTTCAATTGTTTTAATTTCAAGAAATCGTTTGCCTATGGCTATCTATCGTTCGTTTATTCATTTAAAATTACATAATTCGTTTAATTACAATGTATTTTAATCGTTGGCTCTTATAACAAAAAGACGACTAACAATTTAGAAATCTTTGACATTTCAGAATGAAAACTAAAAGTAATTCGGTTCCAAATTTCAAAAGTTTCGTCGAACAAATGATCGATGGAGCTCTAAAAAATAATGGTTAGTGTAATAATTAACGTTCATTTTATTACTGTATATTACATACATTTAAAATATCCTGCATAGATCAAATTATACAATTTCATCAAATGATTTATGAGAAATGGAATTTCAAGAAATTATTGGAATTAGAGAATGTTAACTATAACAAACAAAATGAAGAATCTTTAGAATCGAAAGAGGTACCAATTATTAGATAAAAATTTTAATTAATTAAAATTATATAGTTAATTTTGTAATTAATTGTGCTATTTACATTTCAAATTTTAGGATATATCAGCAACGGTAGCGCATCGTAGATCGCGTCGCTATAAATATAAGCGAACTTCGGTAACGATTTTCCATAAAATGCCTAGTCAAGAAGATGTGACAGAAATAAGACAAACACCAAACTTCGTTTCGATTAACAATAAGGAATTTATTAATGAAAAAGAGGATTTGAATAAACTAGATGACATTAATCTTTCTCCTATCATTGGTGATACTAAAGTTATTGAACTTTGGAGCAACTCAACAAACCGCGCAGCAGATAAATTACAAATTGCGACAAACAACGTTTCTGTGGTTGACTCTGATCATATGCACGGGTTATTATTCTATTTATAAAAAATCAAATTTCATCAAATTTATTGAATTTAGAGAATAGTTTGCAACATATACTTGTTTGCTTAAAAAATAAAATATAGATTAGCAAGTCAGCGACAAAATGAAAAAAAACTATCCTTTGAAGCTTGGAAAAATAAGAAAACTATTACATATAAACGAATACTTAAAAAAATAGAAACTGAAAAACAGCAAAAATTACTTGAAAATTTAACAAATACAAAATGGAAAAAAATTGCTCAACAGGTTTGTATCATAATTAATTTCTCGATTTTCTTTTGAAATAATTCGTATTCTTTAATAATTTTAATTTATAATTTTTTTTTTTACTTGTTAAGACGCAAATACGCAAGGAAAATAAATATCGGCGAAAACAAAAGTTACTTTCTAAAAAACATTTTGAAATGAATGCGATAAATAATCGTAACGTAAAATCTAATTGCAATAAAATGAATGAAAAACAAATTATTGAAGAATTTATTCCAAATTCATTTGGAGACGAAAAGAATATGAAAGTACATAAAGAAAAGAGAAATGAACCGAGTATTGTGCGGTAAAATCTTTTAAATGTATTTTACATAATTTCCATTATATAAAAAAAAAAAAGAAAAAAGAAAATAAAAAATTGTTTTCATAATTTTTAGAGAATCAAATATTCCTAACAACGATAGAAAAAATAGAGCGTCTTCAATGATTAATTCTATTGAAAGTATTATATTTTGTTCTTGGTTAAATCAATTGAATTGCGCACTTCATAACAAATATTTACGTGAACGTCGACATCTTGTACGATCGTTTTATTGTCAACCTTTCTATTATGGAAATGAAAAGTTTTATATCAGATAAGTACTTACAATTGTACTATATATGAGAAATTATTTCTATCTCGATCGTTTCTAAAAAAATATGTAAATAAAATTACATATAGAATTCCTAATATCAAGATCAGTAAAAAAATAAAATATGTTAAATAGCGATTATTCACTTTATAAATGCGACATATTTTGTATACTTATAGTAGTTATAATTACTGATCAAATAAAATAACAATTTTGAATAAATTTTTCACGTTTGATTTAATTAATATATTTATTTTATAGTCTTATTTCTTTTTAACAAGATTTTGCTCAATTAATGAAAAAATAATAAAGAATTTAAATTTAAATTCAATAATAATTCCAACAATTAAACCAAAAATTAAATAATTAAATAGTTTTATTTATACTTTATGTTTGTATATCCTTTTATATTTACTAACAGTGATTATATTGTAATATCCAAATTGCATATATTGAATATTATTTGCACTAATTTATTATTTTAAATTTCAAAAATATTATTGTTTTATTATTAAATATAAATTCAAAAATATATATGAAATTTAAAATATCTATATAATATGTATATAATGGATATAAATATTTTTTTATTTTTTTATATTTTAAAATATTTCTCAAGTTGCTCCTTTTCAAATAAGTTATAATTTTTCTTGAAAATATTTAAAATTTTATTTTAAAAAATCTGATATATATAATTATTGCATGTTTTTATTTTGATAATATTATAAAAAAAAATTCCATTATTATATAAAAGATATTTATTTATTCATTTCCTTTAATATTTATCTTCATATATAATTTTTTTATTATTATTTTTATTATTTTTTTCTTTATTGTAATTATATAATATTAATAGATATGTTTCAAAATTATGTTCTAAATTTATAAAATAAATTATAATATTTATTATGAAATATTTAAACTAAATATGATGTTAATTAATGATATTTGTAAATATACATATAAGTTAATATATTCCTATACATCCGCATCACATATATTATTTATTTGTTTTTTTTAAATATAAAAATTTTATTTGCATTTGTTTCGCCATTAATTTAAACTAATCTCTTTATAATTTATATATAACTAATATTTAATTTAAAAATATAAATTTTGATTTTCATTTACAAACATTTTGTCAATATATTTTATAAAAATTCAAAATCAAAAAAATAAAAATGAAAAATCTAATTAATTTGTAACATATATTAATATTTATACTCACTTCAGATAGTTTTAATATTGCATTTATCCATTATTTTCAATATATTTGTCTATTTCATTGATCAAAAAATATAGTTTCAAGAAAGAAAATAATAAAGTGAATTATATATTCGAGAACGGTATTTTTTAAATAATGAATTTTCTTTTACATCTTACATATAAATATATATATTACAATATTTAAAACACATCTATGCGTATACATTATATTATATTACAAATATGATTCAATAAAAAATTATAATATTCAATTATCAAATTTATAAGATTGTTGCATGAAAATGTTCATCGCATTGTTATAATATTTTTTTTATTTGCACTTATAAATAATTTTAAGTTATTTTTAGTTATTTTTAATCATTATAATTTAATACAATTTAATAAATATTAGTAAAACATATAGATTGCGAATATATAACACATGCATCGAAATATATATTTTCTTATATTTAAATATCTGAATATAAACACTAACCTAAAATTACTAATTGATAGTTATATTATTTATATTGGAAACAAGCATACGACAACGTTATGGAGAAGGAAGGTAAATAATTTCAAAATAATAAATTAAAAGAACAGTTATGTTTTTTAATTCTTATTTTTTTCAGAAATCTGTCAATACTTTAATGACATTATCAAAGATGAAAAAGATGTTTCTGCTGGAATGGCTGCTATACGTACACTATTAAAAGTTTTAGAGTATTCAAAGTGTAAGAGTATATCATAATAGATTTGTAAAAAATATATGTCTTTATTATATATTTTTCTTTCTCTCGTAGCTGAAACGGTTCAAGAACTCAGGTACTGTTTACAGAATGCAATAGATGCAATGAGATCTACTGAAAATCCTGTAACTGCCATTGCATCTGGCAGTGAATTATTTCTTCGTTTTATAACTTTGGCTACATTAGATACTCCTGTAAGAATATATTAATATGATTTGTCATAATCCTTAATCTTTTTATTCTAATTTTTTAATTTTTTTGTTATTTTAATATTAATATTCATGATATTCGATCAGTTAGTTATTTGAATATATTCAAAATCTTAAATCGCATTATTATTTATATTTACCTATATTACTCTATTAGTCATTTGCAGAATGTAAAGGTATTATGCTCCATAGAGGCAAAATGTTTTACGAGAAATTAGTGGCTGCCAGAGGAAAAGTAGCAAAAGTTGCAGCACATTTCATTAAGGATGGCTCTGTAATTTTCATTTATTTTGGAATTCTTTTATGAAAATTTTTTTTGGTTTTTATTTTTCTATTATGTTTATTACAGAAAATACTTACTCATTCAAAATCTAGAGTTGTATTACAAGCAATGAAAGAAGCTGTTGAAAGTAATAAAATATTTGAAGTATATGTAACATGTTCTTCTCCAGATAATAGTGGGTAAATATTTTTTAATAATTTTTAATAATTTAAAATGTAAATTTTAATGTACAATATATTTATCTTTTTTATTTTTTAATGGACAGGGAAGAAATGCATGAAAATTTAACAAAATTAGGTTTATCTTGTACATTGATATTAGATTCTGCAATGGGATATGTCATGGAACAAGTTGATATGGTCATGGTAGGAGCAGAAGGAGTTGCAGAAAGTGGAGGTGTTATTAATAAGGTATAATTTTCTTAATTAATCATTCTTAACTGACATTATAATTTTCATCTTCATTGATATTGATTTATAGGTTGGCACATATACAATGGCAATGTGTGCTAAAGAGGTGAAGAAACCATTTTATGTCTTAACAGAGAGTTTCAAATTTTCAAGAATATATCCCTTAAATCAAGTAGATCTTCCAAATGAATTTAAAGTAAAATATTAAAATTTTCTATTATTTTTAACCAAGATATAGAATATTTAAAAAATTTTTGTTTTGTTTTTTCTTTTACAGTATACAGCAAGTACATTAAAAAAAGATTTGCAGAAAGAACATCCATTAGTTGATTATACGCCGCCACATTATATTAGTCTTCTCTTTACTGATTTAGGTATATTAACACCTTCAGCTGTAAGTGATGAACTTATTAAATTGTACTTGTAAAATGTACATCAGTATACCAAAATACATATACAAATAATTTTAATACAAATATAGATAGAAATAAAATTATTTATACAATGACAATAATAAATATTTAACTTTACAAAAAACTTTGATATAAGTTTTATTAATTCTTAAAATAATATTGAGTATTGTAGAATAACACACTCGTTTTTTAAAATCTCATTTCCAAATAACACACGATAAAACACTTATTCTTTGTTATAATACAATAGAGAAGTTCAACACTGTTTTGAATATTTATAAATTTTCTCCTAGTTATGACTTATTAGAAGATGACTTACGCATCTCGCACAATATACACATGTATACGATATCTATAACCACATTATTATATTAAATACAAATAATCTATAATGCATCTCAATAATTGAGCATATTGCACAGCAATAACAATAATATAAGATTTATAACTTTTAACAAAATTAAAAAAAATTGTTGTAATTAATTAGTAAATTATGTACTATAAAAAAAATTTTTAAATTTGCAATATTTGTTACATATATAAATAATGTTTTAAAATTTTTATATTTTATATTTAGTTTCATTTTAATGAAACATGGGAAATAACGATATGATATTGTAAATGTTTTTGAGTAAATATTCATAATTAGATAATTTTGTTTTTTTATATTTAACATGTGTTTACTACGCTTATTGCGAAAATTTCTTCTAGATAAATATAATTCATGATTAAACATTTTTCGTTTTAACAATAAATACTGGCTATTAAAACTGAATTGTCGTTTGGACGGATATATAACATAAGGAATTAAGACGGAAATATTAATATAAAAAATGAAAAAAATAAGTAATAAAAAATTTATCGATATTGGATCATTCTAATAGTCTTAAAGATTTTTCAAATTTTAAAAGAAACTGAATAAAATTTTATATATGATTATATCATAATATGATAAATATTCATATTTTCTATTGATAATAACATAAATACAATGAAAAAATAGAAATATCGATGGTTTACTATGAAAAGCTCACTTTCAACTCTGTTTACATTTGATTTGATTTTCATTAAATGTAATATATTTTTAAAATTGCAGTATAATCATTAATTTATTCTGGAATATTATTATATATCACTTTAGGAAAAAAGATAAAAAATAATATTTACAAACGAATATCTTATAATAAATGAGTTATTGGTAATTATTAAAATTTTTCTTATTGAATTTAAATATTCAAGAT